TTTATAGTTAAAATAAAATAAATATTGCAAACAGAAAGTAAACATTTTTTTTTCAAAAAAAAAAATAATTTATTAAATAAATAGTAGAAACAGATGTTTTCTTTGACAAATTAAACAACAAAAATTGATTTAATAAATATAATATGTTGTTAATTGAGTGAATATTTTGTGCACATTATTAAAGCAAAAATTTGTGCATAATGGTGCTAGACAGTGGTTTTGATACGTTGACGACGGTGACGGTGTGGATGAGAATAAACTGTAGCTAAAAAATTGTATTTTTACAAATACTACAAAGATTAATTTCTATCAAAAATAGATACCGGTATAATTCAGAAAAACTAATTTTTTTCTGTGTTTCAGCTGCTCATTGCTGTTGTACAGAACTCTGATAAATTTTGGTATCCGATATTATCCTGGTATCAGCCTATACGTTCAGCTCAACAATCATAGTCATTAGAACTTCAGTAAAGGCAAGAGAAAAAAGAAAATTGCAAAATTAGTCAGCGTCAAGATTGCTGACAAATTAACTGCTGATTTTTTTCATTCGCCATAATTTCTTAGTTGAGAAATTCTGTTGTGATACATTAATCATCTTAATGTGAAGCCAACAAATATACCAGTTTGCTTACAAAAGAAGTTCAAGTTTTTTCTTTTTTTTTTTTTGGCTTTGTTTTACTTTTATTGTTGATACAGTCTGTTTATTGACCAACAAATACTGTTGACCAACAGCTGAAAATGCACTAAAAAGGGGGAAAAAAAAAGCAAAAACAGAAGTGGTTCTCATTTTTATTTCCTAACAGCAATAAGGTTAGTTAATGCAAAAGCAAAAAAAAAAAAAAAAAAACCAAGCAGGAAATAAATTTGAATATTATTAACTGTACTGTATACAAATTTTTTAGACTATACAATTGGACAGCGACGAAGAAAAAAAAGCACTCTATCAGATAAAATAGACTTTGATGAAGTATAGATACATCAGGTTCGATTAGAAAAAAAAAAAACTGAACAATTTATAAACTCCATTAGATTTGTTTCTCCGCTGTTTCTTTTTTTTTTGAACTTACCAGAAAAAAAAAATTCCGTTTCTTTTTTCTGTTTATTTAATTGAAGAAGCAAAAAAAAAGTGAAAAGAAAAAAGACTTAACAACTAAACAAGCAACAACAATAGTTCAACATCAACATCAACAAACAAAAAAAAAAAAACGGATTGGAAGATGAAGTTTTTTTACTTTTTGTTGTTGTCGTCGTTGTTTTGTAGAAAAAAGACTCCAACTTGTGTTTGTCTGTAAGTGCTGTTTTTTTTCCGTTTTCAAAAAAAAAAAAAAAAAATGCTCAATAACCCGGAAAATTGAGAAACTAAGAGGGGGTAAGGGGGGGGGGGGAAAAAAAAAAAACAATGGTTGGGGTAGCAGCAGTAGCAGATGTTGTAGGCTTCGCGGAGAAAAATAGTCGAAGAAACTGTTGTCGCCGTTTGTTGTCGTCAATGGATGGTCGACAATTGTCATCAAAACAAACAGTAAGTGCTGCTTCTTTTGCCTTCTTCACCGAATACAAATATCGGTATAATAATAGCATCAGTAAAGAAGCAAAAAAAGACTACTTCATTTTTTTTCCTCATTCTTTTTCTTTAGTTGATTATTTGTTGAGAAAAATGACAATAAGAACACCAAAAAAAAAAAAAA